CCCCCCCACTCCCCCACCACCTCTATTCAAGCTCGGCTTCTCCATTTTTAAATAAATGGCCTCTTTCACAAGTCTTTTTTTCACCATATTTATTCCCAGAGAATGTTTTGTACAATTCATTCTGAACTGAGAAAGCTGGTCGGATGACAAGTGAAACATCTTCAAGAAAAATACAGCAGGTCCAGTTGCCTTGACTTATTTTTTACAGATATACCATGTGACCTGGATGAATGAGAACCTTCACAGACATTTTACTGTAAAAAGTTTATTGCTGATGTTGCCATCACTTCCAAACATTTTATACATCAAAATACTTGATGATAAAGAAAAAACAATTATAGACAAAATAGTAATCATCATCATCATCATCATCCTCATCATCATCATCCTCATCATCCTCATCATCATCATCATTATCATTCATTCATTCATTCAAAACTAAAAACGTTACATACATTTTAAGGTGTACATTTATAAAAAAAACAAAAAAAAACAACAACTTTATTTAATCTGTAAATAACTTTGCAATGCTCCGGGCCAAAATCATAATTTTACTGTAATTTTAAAAGGGTAAATTAAAGAATTAAATTGGCATTTTTTAAAAAAAACTAAAAACTGCACAAAGTAAAAGAAAAAGTTCTTTTTTTTTTAAATTTTGTTATGATTTTAGTCTATGGATTGCTTAGAATTAAAACAGTTTTCTAACTTTTGCAAGATAATATCATCAGGAGTCTTGTTTGTCCTAAGATATATATCTATATATCTATATACAGTACATACACATATACACTGAGTGGCCAGTTTATTATGACCACCTGACGTTCGCAGGCAAATTAGCTATAATTTGGCGCTGAAGTTGCTAGAGGGCCAGACCATTATAAATAGGGAAGCGGGTTGGTTACCACGACAGTAGAAGTGATTTGTTTCTGAAGATACGGGGAAACAACGCGATGTAACAGCCTTGGAACGCGGGATGATTGTTGGCGCTCGGAGCCATGGAGCGAGTATCAGCAAAACAGCAGAATTCGTTACATGTTCAAGAGCGGCTCATTGTTAAAGTGTTTAAAGACCGGACTGTCAGCGGAAAATCTGGGTCTGAACATGCGAATTGTGGCCGTCAGCGACTAGTCAATGTTAGGGCAGAACGGGGGAGGGGCAAGACTGGTACAAGACAACAGAAGGGTAACAGCGCCGTGTCAGATTCCTCGCATCACCTCTCACCATCTCGTGGAGTCACGAGGCGGCCCAACGAAGTACTGATGGGGTGGTCATAATAATCTGGCCACTCAGTGTACATACATACATATATATATATATATACACACATATACTGGTGAAAGTGCTTTTACTGTTCAGAATACGGAGAAGTGCTTCACTTGAACAAAAACACAAAAATAAATGAATAAAAAAACCTGAATCCTCAGAACTATTATTTAACTCTCAGGAAGGCAAATACCCCTTAGGAAGCGTGGCCCAATTTGCTCCAATCTGGAAGATTCCCTCCTGATCCCCCAAACTGTGAGTTCTAAATTTCTCTTATTATTAGTTTATTACAAACTTGGGATAATTAGGATATTTGGGATACATTCAGGGAAGCCTATCCCACCTCAACCTAACCACTGAACTATCACTTTCTCAAACAATTCATCCCCACACAGCTCCCTCCTCATGTATCATTTCCCCCTCCCTTTTAGACTGTAAGCCCTCAGGGGCAGGGCCCTCCTTACCATCTTGTCTTGAATTGTATTGTGATTGTAATGTCTTCCTTATATTGTAAAGCGCTGCACAAAATGTTGGCGTTATATAAATCCTGTATTATAATAATGTATAATAATAATTAGAAAAAAATAATAATTTTGTTTCAGGTGTTAGAAAGAGGAAGGTGTGAAGTAGATGTAAACTCAATCACTAAAATCTCATGCAATCTTTGACATGTTAATGTAAATTCTAAAGATATTTTCAATCGATTTATTTCAGAAGCTTTTATTGAAACACTTCTTTATGTTCCTGCTACGAAGGTCCTTGTGCTGGCACTTCCTCTACTAGGGTGACAACGCTCTGTCTACCAAGTGTGCTCCTGTGTTGTCACCCTGCCACATGGGCTTCTAATGGAGACCACAAGCGGCCTCACCAACACACTTCGCTCAGGCATGGTTCACCATCAGAAAGCCAATCCAGCAATGGTGTGTAGCTGTAACTGGAGTACCTGCAGACACGAGAGTCGGCAGGAGAGATTAGCAACACTGAAATAAAAGAAAAAAGGATGAAGACTGTATTCGAAAAAAAAAATTTATATATGTATATTATGTATATAATATGTAATAGAAAAAAGCAAGGTAAATGTTATCTAGGTCTGCTTTAAGTCGGATTGCACAACGTTGGAATGAGACATCATTATTGAAAAATGACAAGCAAAAAGGAAATAACACGGGAGCAGATCTGAAGAACATGTTTGTTAAAAGGAAAATTTGATATCCAAGACCGGAGAACTCGGAGTAAATGTTGTATTTTTTATAACTGGCTACACTGTACAATGTTTTGTTCTCTTGGAACATAGTTTATAAAATGTTTGGAATAAAGGATGGGAAGAAGAGGAAGAAGCCCACCGTCATGGATTATTGGAGCCTCAGTATTACAAACCTTATTCTGAGATGTTATTTTAGGATTCGGATATATCTCTGAATCTAGAAAGGAACCGGATTTTAGGATCTAAATCTGTGCGAATAATAAAAAGAAATTAATAAAACTTAGAGAAGACTTGTTGGTAAAGAGAACGGCGCGCACACATTTCAGTGATTAGATTTGTGTCCCGGATTTGAATATATAATGGTAAAATAATCCCTTTTATAAAGGAAATACAGAAAGAATAATACTTATTAGAGAAATACAGGAGACATTGTTCTATGAAAGATCAATTGTCTTCACACCGGAGATCAGCTCACCGCCTCAATTCTGAGGAATAAAAGAATGAGAGTCTTATATATTATACACGGTACCCAGGGAGGAGAATTCTCCTTTACCCTAAGGCACGGCTTCCCAGACAGTGCTACACCAACCCCAGGGGTACCCAAATAATCCACAATACCCTAGCTGCTGCTTCCCAAAGCTATCTATCTCTGTATGTATGTATGTACAGTATCTATCTATCTATCTATCTATCTATCTATCTATCTATCTATCTATCTATCTATTTCTCTCCCTCTCTCCATCTTTCCACACACAGTATATATACATTATATCAGACCTAGGTTACATAGTTACATAGTATTTGAGGTTGAATAAAGACATTAGTCCATCAAGTCCAACCTATTAGGATTTAATTCTTATGAGTACTTGTACCCCTGTATATTACTTGTACCCCTGTATATTACTTGTACCCCTGTATATTACCTGTAACCCTGTATATTACCTGTACCCCTGTATATTACCTGTACCCCTGTATATTACCTGTACCCCTGTATATTACAAAAAGGTGCCATTTACAGATACCCTCTGGACACGTTCCCGTAGCCAGTTCTCTATCCACGTACACACCACCTCATCTATGCCCATAGCCCTCAGCTTGTGTAGCAAGCGTTTGTGTGGTACCGTATCAAAAGCCTTTGAGAAATCCAGATATACCACATCTACCGGCCTCCCTCCATCCATATCTCTACTCACCCCCTCATAAAAAGTTAGCAAGTTAGTTAGGCAGGAACGGTCTTTCCTGAACCCATGCTGATTGTCATTAACTATCCCGTTTTCCTGAACAAATTCTACCAGATAATCCTTTATTATGCCCTCTAGCATTTTACAAACTACCGATGTTAGACTGACCGGCCTATAGTTCCCAGGTTTACTGAGCTTTGGGTCACGGGACAACGCTAGTTTGTGTCCTCCCGTGACCCTGGGGAGAACTATGGGGAAAAGCCCTGACCCCA